TGCCGAGGTAAGTCATGCCATGAGCTGGGTTTTGATGAAGTCGCGTTCTCGCAGTCGGAATTGGTGAGCTGAAAGAAGATTAAATATAATGCTGTAAGTGGCCAATTAAAGAGTATGTGTTCAATTAACAGAGGAAAATTAATAATTAATGAACACAGAAAACATGTCAGAATTAAGCCACTAGAGTATAAAAGTGACATATAGGAAGCTCAAAAGTGCAAATAGAGCTGAATGGCGATTTTTCTGTTGTACATTTTGAACAATTCTGTAAGTGCGAGTCTTAACTTGAGAAAGAGATAGTGGTGGGGTTAGCTTGGTCTCCATAAATTGGAACAACATTTTGTAACCAAGCTCATACCAGTCACGATATAAAAAAGACGCATTATCTTTAATTTATACAAGATATATGTTTCTCATTTAAAGAAAGTTTGATGTAGCAAAAATTTAGAAAAAAGTGCGGGGCGATAGAAAGCGAGTTAAGACGACGGTTTCTTGTTGGTACGCCGGTAATAAAAGGCAAATATTTGTGGTGATATGTTTGTAGAGAGTATACATGCCTAGTACGTCGTTAGATTAGGATCTCACTAATATATATTTATTCGATATGATGTGGTGCCAGTTTGTTGCCAGATGCTAGTCTATTCGTACTTTTATTTGAACTTGTTAATTATTTTTAATCTCTCGCATTCGTGGCTTAGTTTTGCGTGAATGTTCTACGATTCTCGAGAATGACTTTTACAAAAAGTAATTCGGATGAAGATTGTGGATATATGATGGGTAATACTGTACCATTACCAAGGCAAGAAGGGTGACGCGTGTGGTAGCGGACCACTTAGAGATTAATTGAGAGAACGCTCCATTGCCATTGAAGGGGAACCAGAAGGATGTTTCGTTCCGCACACTCGTTTAGCTTCGCTTTCGTGCACGATCTCGCGATGTGGGAGTCGATTCGTTGATAGTGAGGAAGTAATCATGAAATAGAACCATCTACGACAATCACGTCGAATGAGAGCCGCGTCCAGTTGAAGAGTAGTCCATCGACATCGCGTGTGGGTGGTCGGTGATGTTGCGATCTTAATGCTCTCCATTCTTGTACTCGAGGTCCTTCCTTGAGCGCCTTACCGCGGCGCCCTACGTGGAGCCAGGGGGCGCGGGTCCAGCTCCGCAGGAAGGGTGTTGAGTTGACCTCGAGAGGAAGTTGCCGCCGCCTCCAGGCTGCGCTGGCGAAACCTGCGCGTGCCGAGAAAGGCATTGCAGTAGAGGCCGCGTGCTGTGCGGCGATCGGGCAGCAGCGCCGCGCGCCCAGCCCGCGTGGCAGAGGCGTCGCGAGAACGTGCGCGGCCGCCAGCGCAGCTCGCTGCACCAGGGTTCATGCGTGAGCGCGCCGCCGCGAACGCCAACCAGCAGCGCGGTTGTGGCAGTCGCGCGGCCTGCGCACGCACGCACGAGGTCAGAACCCGCGCCCCGTTCGACTCATCCGACGACCGACGCGTAGCACATTGATGGCTAGATATTCCCTACCAAGTATCCTCTTCAACTGCGGGGAAAAACGTGCTCAACGGACAAGCCCACAAGGCTTCCGACTGGTCTCTTGTACACGTGGATAGTGTAGTTGTATGTAAGTGAAACAAGGAAGAGGAATGAAAGATCGCGCGTGGCCTATGTTGGGTTAAGGCACCGGCTTCCGGCGTACTTGCGTGTGTTGATCTGAGAAACTACGGAAAACTCAAACTGATCGTAGCAGCAGCAGCTAGAATCTCCTCCGTCTGAATTCGACCTAGCTCGTTGTAGCTGGTGTAAAACCTCTGTCATCGTCTGGCACTCGACCTGCTTAGGATGGACACTCGCAGTGACGTCAGTGATACCCATGACACACCTAACTAGGGGAAAGGGTGGTTGATTGGTAAGCGGTTTACGTAATCCTTGTGTTGTAGTCCAGAGATACCTGCTTCCGTCTGTCTACGCCGATGGTAAGGGTAGTTAGTCTCTTTCCGGACAAGTGGAGACAGAATAAGTCGGCTTTCCATGCGTCTCTGTTCTCCTCGAGGGGAATTTATTGTGATTTTTTTACATATCCAGAGAGATTATCGAAGAGTCTCTAAAATTGTTATGTTATTGTTTTTTATACATTTTTAAATGAAAAATTTTTCGGATGCCTTACGCACCTTCTGCCGGTGAATGAATAGCTCATTTGATTCCTCTCGAGCGAGAAAGGAAAACGATCTGGCTCAATTTGGATACGCTGTTCACTGCGTGGATATGCGAATGGATTTTAGAAAAAATACCTGTTTTTTGATTGCGCTTCAATATACCTATGTAATACATTGTGAACACTGTAAAGTACACTACCTCTTTCCATTTACTGGAATGAATCTGTTACGAGTGCTTCATACAGATCACGGCTAGCTTCATCCTATATTTATAAAAAAACAAAAAAGTTGAAACAAGATATTTTAGAACGATACTCTTTTATTCATTAACTTTCGTATGCCGAAAATACACCAAGATCGACCATCATGTTTAGATACTTGGTATGTTTAAATTGGTTACTGTTTATTAGGAGTTTATCAAAGCACAAAAACAAAAATATTACATGAAAATCCCACAGGAAAGCTCAATTTATAGTAATTTATAATGTCTGAAGTTTTTAATTACCATCATTACTCCTACATGTACTAGTTAACATTGTTTGGACACGCAAGCGTTGAAAACTGCATATACTATTTCGAAATAATGGTATGGTATATCTAATTTAGAATGTTTCAAACATACTATTTTCATCTCCGTATTCAAATAAGGAACTATACTAGACATAAAACCATGGTTCATGTAAAGAGTAAATGTGTGAAGTCCAGTGCCTGGCAGACCGACGTGTAGTTCGACCAAGAAGGTGCATGGTAGGATGGGGTGGGGAGAGGGCGGGAAATGTGTATAAATAATTTCCATTTTAACCCATAAATGTAATTCATTGCTTTCCCTCTAATAGAATGTCTGAGATAAATACTCGTGCAATGCAGTAACTTCAGTAACATACGGAACCACAACCACGATATTAGATAAACTTGATTATCGTCCACACGGTGGTAGCCGAGATTTAAAGCACCTGCTACAATTGAGAACCTTCTTAAAAACCTGTCTGAAAAATAATTAGTTTATTTTTCACTTACCGCCAAGTTTGTTATTTGTCGTTTAGTGTCTTAAAAGTATCCGCGCGGAATAGACTTGCACTCTTTCATCTCGTTTCAGTGGCGACCCATAAGCTTTTTCAATTATGGCTGAACATATCCACTTATAATGGTTTGAAATTATAGTACAAAGGAAATATACATTTTGTTATGTTATTTATACATTTTTCTGGAACATATATAAAAATGATAATCTGCATTGGACTTCGATAAGATGAGCTAATTGTATAATGAATGTGGGTCGCGTATTGAGTATTTTATTTACTTATTTCCTATTATTCTTATTTTTAATTGCTGTTGAAAAACCGGTAGCATATTTCTTCGTTAGGCCATGCTTTTGCCTAAAACACTAGTAAGGTATATTTGTGGGTTAAGAAAAACAGGTATTAACTTTGACTGACGTGGGCCTGGGCGAGGCCATTAGTGTTTCTGGGAAGCATTACTCACCCGTGGACACCGTTGCCACAAACTTTTCGGTTCACTATCTCGAAACTGTTTCAAAGGGCTGCGAGGGTCTCTTGTTCAGGAGTTCCACTCGCCGCCGGCCTTCTCGCCCAGGAACCTTCAAACAAAGCGTCGCGTGCATTGCAAATTATTGCAATATTTTATCTATTTCTAACCTTAACTTCTCTTTATTTGACAAGAAATTATAGTAACCCCAACCATGCTGTGCTTAATCATAAAATATAGTGAATAAGAATTGCTTACTCTGGCAATTAATTCATATAGTAACCAATGTTAGTCGAGGAAATAAATTTAAAAAAAAGAGAAAGCACTTGAATTACTACCCGTCTATATTCTTTACCTTTAGAATATGGAACTTTACTTCATTATTACAGGACCAGAAAACTTACGTAATTCAAGTTACGTGTTCGGTTTAATTTGCCCGCTTCGTCCGATAGCACTAAAAAATGTCGAGGAGCTACGAAGAGGGCTTTCGTTGTGCGGTTCTTCGCTAGCTTTTGTTCTTCCAATATCGTTGTTCTGCAAACAGAAATTCTGCATATTATAATGCAAAACTGAACAACTGTGAAAATAACACAAGGATTATGTGAAAACCACGAAGACCATACCATCGCATGTAAAGGGTTTCGTGGTTAATGTCGTTCAGAATTTTGAGTATTGGTTTGGCTGCGATAGCCGTGGCAGCTGTAGTGCCCCATTTCCTCGGAATACAGCTGGTTTCTCCATCATGTGGGCAGGAAATATGTTTAACCGCAAAGAGTCTGCTGCGGTGCATCTGTCGTCGATATCCAAAAGTCACTTCGAAGGATAAATGGCCTTAAATGAATAAATTCCATACAAGCTCTTCTTCAACAAGAAACACAACCGGCTAATTTCGCGTATTTCCAAGCCGTGCGCAGCGGCTGCAGGTCGACCGTGCCAGCGCTGGCCGCTCCGCGCGGGTTCCAGTGAGACCCCGTTTCTCCTAAGGAAACAGTTACTATAAACGGTGCTGATAAGTGTGTGTCCAGCCTGTACAGTGCTGTCGCGCATTATGCAGTGAGACCCGCGTTCTCCCACTAAGTACATCAGTCTATTATAATCGGTGTTGACTGTTGTAGTCCCAGCGGTGCATGCAGTGAACAGTCTGCCGCTGTTCGATCAGGCAGCGATACGGCCCCTGCCGCGGTTACCGGGGCCACGCGAGGATGGCGGAAGAAAACTACATAACACCAGCGGCCGTGAAATACAACTGGCCTGAAACACCAGCCCAGCAGAGA